AAGGAAGGAAGGAAGGAAGGAAGGAAGGATAGATTAGAAAAAAAAATCTGTATTGACAAAGCTTCCAAAAGCAAAGCCAGAAGAAAACATTTGTTTCTCTAGAAGATACAATACGTTGACATGTCAGTAAGAAACATCCACTGACCTAGCAGAAAAAAACATGAGCAAACAGTTAGAAGGAAGGTAAAAAGGAAGGAAGGAAAGAAAGAAGAAAAAAACAGAGGGAGGAAAATTCGCAGAATAAGAAATAGAGATAACTTTTAAACATATCAAAAGATTCTCAACTTTACGCCAAGAGATATGTAAATTCAAACTAGGATCTATTTATCTGCTATCAAGTAAATAAAGATAATGTTCAATAACAATGTATTAGCAAAGGTATAGAGAAACAGGGCTTTTAGAATACAAATTGAAACAATATCTATGGAGTCTAATTTGGAAATATCAATCAAAATGTTAAAAAAAAGTGCATTCCCATTGAATGACCAATTCCATTAAGATTTGTCCTATTATTAACATATATATATATTATATACATATAATATATATATATTATTAACATATATATGTGAGAACTGGCACTTATGCAAGGTTATACATTGTAGTCCTATTTGAAATAGCAGAAGAAAGGAGTTCACTGGCTTTCAGTAAGTGTGATTATGGTTTAATGATATAATGGGATACCATGTAGCTATCAAAATAAAATTTTAAAAGATTGAGTTAGCCCTTAAGAAAGAGAAGAATGTAGGCCATTAATGCAATGCAATCAATCTCTCTCAGGTTCCGTAAGATTTGATGAGAGCCTGGAGACTAATTCTAGATAGATAGATAGATGATAGAAAGAATTAATTTTTGCCATAATATTAATCTTTTTCAAACTAAATTAAATTTAAATTTAACCATTTAAAAACTCTGCAGTAAAATATGCATTGTGTATTTGCTAGTTTGTTCTGTGCGATTTTATTTGTACAAAGTTACTGTCAAGAAAAACAGACCAGTGAAGAGCCATTTATAAATAACATATTAATAAACCAAGTTAAAGGGACTTATTTATCCTTTAACCTTCAATTTGCATTAATTGGGAGCAGTCATGGGAAATAGTGCCAACTTCACCTCAGGTCAGATGGCTTAACAAAATGAACTGTTTCATGCCCAGAAATAAATGTATTCCAAATATAAATATGAATCAGTTACAAAACAGATTCTTTTGAAACTACAAAATAACCGCACTGTTAATATATTTGTGCCCCAATTAAAAATGTGTCAAGAACACACATTCTGAGCTAAAGTTATCCCAGGGAATGATTCTCATTTTTGCTTTGAATCTTGTGTATACAAAACTGGGCTGTCTCCTTTGACCCACGAGCAAATTCACAGCTCCCCATTTTCTAAAGAGAAGAAGAATTAAAAATGAGTGTGTTTAAATTGGAAGGGTTTGGGGCTTGACCTTGCTGCTTTACATTTCCTTCATCACAAGAAAATCACTTTGAATTTGTCTACTGGAGGAGTTCTAATTTGGTTTATTCTCACTTTGAGGTACACCATGAAAAAGATGCCATGTGTTTGTATGATAGCAAAATTTGGAAGCCACCTCAGTGATGCTGTGTTTCAGCTTTCTTCTCAGCAGTTTTATCTATAAAACCTGAACCCAGTGGGTGCAGTGGCTCACACCTGTAATCCTAGCACTCTGGGAGGCCAAGGCCGGAGGATCACTTGAGGTCAGGGTTCAAGACCAGCCTGAGCAAGAGCGAGACCCTGTCTCTACTAAAACTAGAAAAAGTTAGCTGGACAACAAAAAATAGAAAAAATTAGACGAGTGTGGTGGTGTATGCCTGTAGTCTCAGCTACGTGGGAGGCTGAGGCAGGAAGATGGTTTGAGCCCAGGAGTTTGAGGTTGCAGTGAGCTATGATAATGCCACTGCACTCTACCAGGGGTGACAGTGAGATCCGGCTCCCCCTACCCAAAAACATTTAAAAAATAATAAAACAAGGAAAGAAAAAGACTTGAGAAGTTGGAAAACTTTTACTGCAAGCTAGGCTAATACCTAATACCACAGTACTCTAGCCAGGGAAACAGAGCAAGACTCTGTCTCCAAAAAAAAAAAACAAAAAAGGAAAACCTAAACCTGTTCTTAGTCATTTAGAATAAGGCCCCTGACATCAGACTGGGTGCAATTCCTGGCCAGCCTCAGCCTCATTGTTTGACTTTGGGCAAAATGTTTAACTGTTCCCTGCCTCTCCTATCCTCATCTGGAAAATGGGGTTTTTTTGTTTTTTTTTTTTAAATGGGGTTATTGATAATACTTACCTTATATGTTCATTGTAAGGATTAAATTATATGAAATTAGGTAAAATAACTAGCACAACCCAGCTCAAAAAATGTGCTTAATAAATGTTATGATAGAACCGCTGATTATGATTAATAATTACATGAGAAATTTCAGATGTTCACAGTCAAATTCATATCTATTCTTCAAAGTCTAAATCAGAATCATACTCTCAAATATAATAAACTCCAGTATTATTTTTATACAAAA